TGAATTTTTTAAAAAGTTTTTATTGTGAATTATGTGATAGTTTACATGGGAGATCATTAGCTTTACATTCATTCTATCATATTTCGTTTCATTGCAATGATTACAATCCCCTCCATGCATCATCATTCAACAGTATTTGCTTCTATTCCCTCTGGTTGTTTTTTGTTGTTGTTGTTATTTGTTTGTTTTATGTACACAAAAGCACTCAGGAATATAATCATTTAAACAACCCAAGGGCACCTTCTGCAAGTCTGACTCATGGCCACCAGCACACAGCCTTTCTCTTTCCATGAGTCTAGAGTCCTCAGCTGCTCTATCTCTATAGTGTTTGGGTGGAATTTCTTCTTCCTCAGAGAAGCTTCAGTTATTTTCTTAAGACTTTTCAACTGACTGGATTAGGCACATTAGGTTATTTAGGTTAATTTCCTTACTTAGTCAACAAAGTACCTTCACAGCAACACAGATATAAGTGACCGATTAAATATTTAGAAATTGTAAGTTAACCAAGATGACATATCAAGCTCACTATCATTCACCATAGAGGCCACCCCTTGTTCTGTTGGCCCAGGCCTTTGGCTTCCCCATTGTTTTGTACTCTACTCATGGTGAACCTACTAGATTTGACTGAAAATAGTCCTAGAAACAGGGTGTGGGTTCCTCCTGCTGCCTATAACTTGTGCCCTTGACAGCCCCACTAACAGCTCACTGGGTGCTTCCCTTACCTCAGGAATGGCATGCTTTGTACTTCTTTATCTTCTCTGGAGCTCTAAACCTGGAAGAAGGCAAAAGATGCACACAGGTTTCTCTTTTGGAAAGATTAGAAGGAGGGAGGGCCTTAGAAGCATGGGTGAGGAAGAAGTATAGGAACTGCTCTATTGTCAACCTTCCATGGGAAGGGATTGTTTCTTAGATAACTTCAGGTCCCAGGTAGACCACTTTCCCCAACATCACCTACCATTCATAGATACATGCTGGAGAATGCAAGCTCATTACAATATTCTCATCTCATAATAAAATGAAACATACCGATGAAAGGTATTGTCTTAGTTCAGAGTTCTACCATAATAGAAAATACCTAAAATGGGAGGCTTTAAAGATCAACAATT